GCTCCCCTGGATGTCCACCTCAGACAGCCTCTGGTCATAGCTGATGGAAGCATTGAGCATCTCCATGATGGGATCTATGCTTCCACTGAATCTTCCACCCCAAAGTTTATTCCCCTGAGAGAGAAAATAGCTAATTAAAGAGGCCTAATGACTCCAGACAAATCCTATGCAGTAAATAAACATCCTGTGGTTCATTTATCTGATACAGAGTCCATGCTCAGCTCCTCTCAGTGTGACAGGACTGACCAGAAAGTCCCCTGGACTTCAGGAGCTCTGGCAAGTGGTTGAAGAGCTGGAGAACACATCACTGTCAGTGTTATTTACCCCTGAGCTCCGAGGTCTGGCCCAGGAATCCTCCAAGATATTTTACATCTGCAGGACTCTGCTGGGAGTCCTTGAAATTGATATCAGGGAAAGATGCAAGACCAGCAGAGATTTCTGTTTTGAGGCCTTGTAAAGGGAGGAAAAACCAAACAGTCAGTAGGATTAAAGTGAAATTAATATACTCTAATCCTTTTTGTCAGTCTTCTTTGATTGACAAAGAGCTGTGGGCCAGCACAGAAACAAAAGTGGTTTTCCCATCCAAGCCAGGATTCCTGTGGTGACCTCACCCCCTAGAATGTGTCACCCACTTCAGGGAGTGACCAAAGGCTTGTGCAGGGTTCCAGCTGTGCCCACAGCAGGGTGTGTGTTGTGTGGGAGCTTCTCCAGCAGTGATTCAGAGCCTGGCTGGCCTCACCTGAGCTGTGTCAGCTCAGAACATTTTTGCTTGCCCAGGAAAGACAACCCAAGAAGTTTTCATTCTGCCAGGCTTGCACTGAAGTGGGTAAGAATTTTACTTGGGCAATTTATCCAAGATTTCTAAAGCAACTTTCCAGTGCTACCAGGCACAAAAAGGAATTACAGGACACCTGAAGGAAGGGACTAAATACAGTGGCATTGCAGAGTGGATAATTACTAATCTACTTGATTTTTTAAACACCACTGGCAAGTTTCTTCTCATACTGGTCACTGTAACTACCATGGACAGCAAGGAGCTGGCAGGACAGATGGAAGCTGATCTGTGCCAGGGCTTTACCAGCCAGACAAAACACTTTAAAATGTTTTCCCTGGTGACTGTTTCCATGTCCCTGTGCCTGAAAGGACAACAGGACAGAGCCTGCAGGGGTGAGGGTGTAGCCATGTGTAAAAGGCAGCTTTGTTAGAAAGCTGAGGGAAGGCAGAGAGGGGAATCAGAATTGAAAAAGAAATGTTAGAGCTCCGCAGTACTCATTTGGTGCACCCAGGAGCAAAATTAATGCTAAGTTAAAGACCATTCCAGAGGCTCAGCACTTGA